AATTTCCTAACAGTATATTCTTATAAAAGGATAACAAAAGCTGGTCCCTGAATTTCCTCCTTCCCTGTACCATTCATTGGTTGGTCTAATCCTACAATGTGCCAACTGACAACAGTTTGATTCAAAGGTTGAAAATTTTGACCAACTATTTTCTTTCTTCCAAGCAGTCGTTCAAAACTAGTCTAACTTTTCTAAGCATTAGTGGACTCGTAACTTTTTATAGGTCAAACGGGGGATGGATCATAAATGGATTGCACAGTTTGATCAATTTATTCATTCTGAACTCCTTGCCGCTATTGAGAATCATCCCCAATTTGCTTCATCCAGCACATCATGGAACCAAAGATAAATTGTTAAGTTCTACTGTGGTACATCCTAATAATATTCTTTAGCGTTAGATGTAAGAAGCAGTTACTGCTATAAACTACAATGGCAAAGAGCTTGTACTGCTCTGAGCATGTGCCCAGTTTGTCCATCGCACGTGCCAATCACGCCATCAACTAGCTATTGTAGAAACTAGAGGAGGTGCAAACTAACAGGGAGAAGCTTTTTTCCTTAAACAAACTATACAAAGTGGACACGACACAATTGAGATCCCCATTTTCCTTCCAACGAAGGAGACCCTGTTCAGCAAGTGCGAGTGCACTTTTCTGCGTTGAATTATCACGTAGTACTCCACATGACACTGATGAACCAAAAACTACACAGAATATCCAACATCCTAGTCGCCGTGCTATAAGGAAAGCTACACAGTCTCGCAGTTACCAGGGAGTTTGACCGTCAGACTCTTGGGTCGCGGATCTGACACCTTCAACACTTCAAACTTGAGCGTCTTCTCATTGGCAGCATCAATGGAGATTGACGAGCCTTCACTAATTTGTCCATTGACCAGCATCTCGGAGAGATCAGTCATCACATTCTTCAGCAACCACCTCTTTACAGGCCTTGCGCCATACATCTGCGGGTGCGGGACAAATTAAGCATTGATGGTTACCAAAACATAAACATTGTTACCTTAAACATGAGCCTAATAATGCCTCAGGTTTGAAAGGAAGCTGCACTTACTGGGTTGTATGATTCCGACAAAACCACGTCCAGAGCGGCATCGCTCGCAGATAGAGAGATGCCCTTGCTAGCTACGCTGGCGACAATGCTCTCCATCTGAATTTTCACAATCTCCTTCAGTTTGTCGAGCGAAAGTGGCTCAAATATAACAATCTCACTCATTCTGTTGCGAAGCTCAGGTTTGAAGTGTTTCTGGACCTGCAAGAACAAATGTACACACCATTCAGCATGCATCTACTGGAGACTTCACAACAACAGTCTCCTGTATACACAAACCTGATGCATCACAAGGTCGCGTGCAGCTTCCATTGTGATTTTTCCAGCCATTCCTGCTGTTAGGTGCTCCGCTCCTAGATTTGAGGTCATAATGATGATGGTGTTCTTGAAATCTACGGTCCGGCCTTTCCCATCTGTCAACACGGCATCATCCAGAAGTTGAATAAAGAGGTTCAACACCGATGGATCTGCCTTCTCCACCTCATCAAAAAGGATAACACTGTATGGACGTCTCCTGATTTTCT